GATCCATAATAGACCTTGAAGTTGGTAGAGGTCTGCAGAAATTGAGCGTGGTTTCCTTATAAGGGAGCAGAATATGGCCAGGTTAGGTCACACTGGGAGCAGAGAGTCTCTGAGGGCACCCTGCAGCCTTTCTTGGAGACCAGGGATCAGCCAGAAAGGGTGCTTTGATCTTCCATATCTCCTCTAAGTTTCAGCTTACCCATTTTAAATTTGTTTAGTCTTTAATATGAGAGAGCAGTTGAAGAAAGTGTTCTGTGGCTAAATAAAAATAGAGGAGTGCAATAGGCCAGGATGTACTGGTATTGTCTAAATCCTATCTTTAAAATGGAAAAATAGGTCAGACAGGAAAAAACAATCTTTTCTATACCTCAAGACATAACAAATAGGAAAGTAAGTGCTAATTTAGAAAAGAATGGAGATAAAACTTATAAGAAGGCAAACGCTTATAGAGGTAGCATCACAAGATGAAATTACCTCAGAAGTCTATTTGAGAGATTGTGTCATGTCGGGAAAGTTCTAGGGACTTGAGAGTCTCTTCCTTTTGTGAGAGATGAAAATGAAATGCCAGCCTCTCAGTCTGTCTCCCAGAAAAAGAACATTGGGCTGATGAGCAATGACTCTGGCAGTGTCTCTTCTGGCCATGTTGAGCCTCACAGGAAATCTCAGGATTTCTCATCAGGACAAGGCCCCACAAGAATGTTACTGCTCTTAGAGCCTTGTGGTTTTATGCCACTGGAGAATTTTCTAGGGAAACAGTGAAACAGTTCTGAGGGAAATTGCTCAGTAGGACTAGACAGAGGCTGCAGTGAGGGCAGTACATGCCCTTCTGGGGGCTGCTGGTGGAAGTTTGTGTTCTGCATGCCCCCTGGAGCTTGTAAGGGGATTGTTGTCCTGCACTACTCACAGCAGCTCTGGGTCTAAACCTGGATGGGGCTGTTCCTTAAGGGTTTGAGAGGCAGAGATATAGGAAACTGAGATGCTTTCTTTTGTAGTTTTACAAAGTAACTTACTGAGAAAATCCACAAGGCAATCATAAGTGTGATTTCCATAATTAATGTGTACTATATTCAGCAAGTGATAAGTTCCTGTTTTGTCCCAGCCATTCTTCCAGATATTAGGACTATATCTTGGAACTGAACAAAGTCCTGCACTTGTGGACCTAAGGGAAGCTAGCCAGACAGTTACTGTTTTGGGTAGTGCTAAGTGCTAGAGAGAGAAACCTGGTAAGGCAAAGTCCTTTCATATAGGTGACACTTGAGAAAGGCCTGCAGGAATGAGGGAAGTGAAGGTGGCTGTTCATGAGAGTAGGTTCCTACAGAAAGGGAACAACAGAGGGCAGTTAAGTGTCAAGGCACAAGTGCACCTGATGGGCTGAGCTGAGAGGGAGAAGAAAGTTGTCAGAGGTGAGTCAGAGACTTACCTGAGAGCACAACCACGCTTGGTTTCCTAACACTTGAAAAACACTTTGGTGAATGTTTGTGTCTCCCCAAATTTAGACTGGGAAACCCTAATTTCTAATGTGAGCGTATTAGGAAATGGGGCTTTTGGGGAATAATTAGGTCATAAGAGTGGAGCCCTTTAAGTGGAGCCTGTGTCCCTGTAAAAGGGGCCAAGGGAGCTTTCCTGTTCCTCCACCATTCGAGGACACTGAGAAAGTGCCACCTATGGACAAGACAGCACACCTTCACCATACACTGAATGTGTCTTGATCTTGGGCTTATCAGCCTGTGAGTAATAAATTTCTGCTGTTTAGAGCTATCCAATTTATGACACTTTGTTTTAGCAGCCCAAAGACAAAACACCTTTCCTTTTTACTTTGGGATGGAAAACCATTGGAGGCTTAAAGTGTTAAGAAGATGACTCTGGCCATTGTGTGAAGGAAATGAAGGGTCAAGAGCATAAGAGATTTTTTCTGAGAGGCTTTTTATTAAGGTCCAATTCTGGATATACTTTGGGACAGGGCTAATAGGTTTTGTTGCTTGATTGGATGTTGAGTGTGACAGAAAAGGTTTTTGTTTAGAAAAGTCCCAGGAATAGAGCTGTTTACAAGTATGGAGAAGACTGGGGGTGCACAAAGTTTCTGACTTGACTAATAGTTGTGGGAATAAGCACTGGAGATTCAAGGGAGAAGGTTAATTATTGGTTCCTTAATGTCATTCATCCTATCAGCCTCATTTGTATTTGGGTCAGTACTACCTATTTGATCAGTACGATCCTAGCATATTAAACCTCAAGGATATTTACCTAGGCTTCTGCAGTTCATTGTGGTCAGAGCTACAGCATACTACGATTCTTTGGGTCTAGAGGAGCCTTGGGATAGGTTCTATAACTAACGCTACTCATTTCAGAGGTTGTGTTGGTTTCTTACTTGCATAACAGGTTACCCAAAGAGGTAGCTTAGACAACACCGATTTCTTAGAGTTCTGGAAGCTAGGAATCCAGACTCCAGGTGTTACAGGGCCATGTTCCCTCTGAATGGTCTTGGGAAGAAGGTTTCATTGCTTTTTCTAGTTTTATCTCACAGATAAAGCACAATATTCCCTGTCTCAGTCAACTCATAATGTCTTCCGTGTGTGTGTGTGTGTGTGTGTGTGTGTGTCCGTCCGTCCGTCCCTATCTTTCCATGGCCTTCTTTTAAGGATATTAAACATTAGATTTGGGTCCACCTTTTCTAGTGTGACTTCAGTGTAACTTGGTTACATCTGCAAAGACCCTCTTTCCAACTAAGGTTATGTTTATAGGTACTAGGGATTAGAACTTCAACAGACTTTTTGTGAAGAATGCTCATCCAGTTACAGGTGCTTGGCCTGGGTTTGACTCTGAGGGTTTTTTTGGCAAGTGTTTGGAAATGAGGAGCTATTAAAATTATTAGAAAACAGGTCTCACTATGCTATGGATATCCTATCTGTGAGAACTGTTTTTTTTAAAAGAATTGTTTATTACATTTTAAGCTAAATAAAGACAAAAATAGATTGTTCATTTCCCTTTTTTTTGGTACCAGGAATCAAACTTGGTACTGTGCACTTGGCCAGGCGGGCACTATGCCACTGAGCTACAATCCCAGCCCTGCATTGTATTTATTTTTTTAACGAGGAAAAACACCAAAAACTAGAACCAACTGTGTTTTAAAAGTTGAAAACTTTAGAATATGCAGGTGACTTTAGACTATCAAAGTAGAAGGTAAAAGAGATTTTATCGTATAAAGAATTTAAAACTGAGTGACACCTAAATTTGGTCACCGAGAGCTTAGGTTCCAAGTTAAGGTTTTGCCAGCAAGTTGGCAGAGATGGAATGCAGCAGAGCTTGGTCCCTGAGCACTGGGTATGATGGGGGAACCGTCTTCCTCCACAAGCCAGTCGCTTACTTTTCCATGGGGCTGGGCCCAAAAGCTGCCCAGGTGGTGTGTGGCACTATCTGACGATTGCCCCCCTTGCATGCAATACCTAGTGCAAGCACATTCTTCAGTGGTGTGTCAGCATGTGCTTCCTTTTTACTCACAAGTAAAGTCTAAGGGTTGTTTATCAAAGGAAGTTAAAGTTCCCATTCTGCTATCACAATGATAGGATTATATCAGGTTTAGCAATGTAATTAAACAGAATTCCTTAGCAACAGTATATACTTGTGGCCGTTGAATTGTGTTGCCACGGTCACCATGGGTTTTATGGAGTTCCTGTTCTCTTGTAAGGAAGTGTGTATAAATTGGCAGATGGAAGATGAATAAAGTGATAGGGCTCTTTCTAGCCGTAAGGAAATTTAGAAAGGACAAAGGAGTCAGAGGTTTCCACGAGAACTGGTAAAGATTTATGTGTTGCCTGGGTTATTTGGCTACTGTAGGGAAAAGCCTGAGAATATATCAGTTAATAAATGTGTGGAGAATGGGAGAAGTTAAAAGCAGAGATATGTACACAGGCATCAGAGAGACTGCATGCTGGAGGCCGGAAGGAGTAGGTCATTTCCAGCTCCCCCCTCAGTGATGGCAATAGTTGCCTGGCTGTGGAGCTACATGAAGCACAGTGATATGCATCCCACCTTTCCCTCACTTCTCTGGTCACCGTGGCACTTGGGTGACAGGGAGAGGCTGAGTGAGAGAGGGGCACTGGTGGCACCTAGGCTTCCTGGACCAAGCTGCACATTACTGCTCCAGTCTGGTTCACATGCACCATGGGAGAGGAAATTTTTTTTGATATTCTTACAGAACATGAATAGTATTCTTTTCAAAGAGAGCCTTCATTTCATGTGTACTCAGTGAGAATATAGCCACAACTATGTCCTCGGGGCAGGGATCAGTGTGGTAAAGCCACCATACTTCTAGGTTGAGCATAGGACAAATTATGCACACACATCATTTCCTTTGACTTAATCTTTTGTAATCCTGGCTCCAGTCTGGGTTTTGAAAGTAGTTAATTTGACTAAATTGAGATTTTTAATTTAGGACACAGATGGGGCGGGAGGTAAACTTCCAAAATCTCTACTCGCTGTGTCACTGTCCTGGCAGCACCCGTTTCATTAGAAAAGCAGATTCTGCTTTGACTCATCTGCCTCAGTGAGACGTGTGATCCGACTCACAGCACTCATGGCAGCCTACAGCTTGTTGGACCAGTGTCTACTGTCTGTTCTGCAGCACCTGTGGGGTGCCTGGCCTAGGCCATGGAAAACCTTGCAAAGAGATGACAGTCTGTTATGGGGCAGGAGCTTTGCCTGGGAATTTCCTGCCCTTTGGTGTAACTTCATGTACCAAGATGCCTTTTTAAAAGGCCACTTCCTGCTGGGGGAAGAGTGCCTACTGCCTGCTTTCCACAGAGGACTTCTGCTGTCTGCACCAGGGGACCACCTTCCTTTTGTCTATTGGTCAGTCCAGGGGTGGCAAGTGTGTTGACTATTGGATTCCAGTTGACACTACGTCCCTGAAAGTCACTGATCACAAGAGATGCCATACCCTTTGCACATAAAAGCTTCATTGCCATCCTAACCTCTTCTAACCTTCCTTTCTCATGTTGCAGCAGAAAAAGTCCTACCTGGAGCGGAGTGTTAAGGAAGCTGAAGACAACATCCGGGAGATGCTGATGGCACGAAGGGCACAGTGAGCCTGTAAGGGACACTCTCCCTTTGGACCCCTCTCATCTGCCTGGGGTTGGTAGCCTTCCTCTACCCAGGTGGACATTTTATCTGGTTGGGCCAGCAATCAACCCTGCACTTTTTGTATTGCCCTGAGCCACTTTCAGGTTCCACCCTGTATATTCCCCCAGCTTTACCTGCCCTGGATACTCTTCTCTCCTGTGGTGATACATGAATTCCCAGGAGAAAGAAGACAGGATCCAGGGCAGATAGGTATGTTCTACCTGACCCTGCCACCAGGTATGCTAGTCAGGTCAATAAAAGATTCCTGTCACACTCTGCTGAGTCTATTTTTATTGAGACCAGGTAAGAGGGCACAATTGGCACTTGGGACTACCCTTAGCTCCTGCTCCCTTGTGCTAGAACTTTTCTGTCTTTGGGAGTGGGGTTTTGCCTTCTTTTGTTCCTCTTCTGGTCTGAATGAGCCCCCTGATTTCTGGGCTTCTAAGTAGTACAGAGAAGGAAGAAAGACTTGCATTCACAGCTGAAGTTTTGGGCCTGTTCTGTTTTCTCCTAGGCATGCCAAAAGGTCAGTAGCGGCTGCATCTCCAAGGCTGTCTCCTTTGGACAATGTCACAAGATGGATCTGATGATCCTGAGGTCCCTTTGGAGGCTTAGGGACAGCGGTGTGCTGGAGCTGACTTATCCCACTTAGGAAAGCTGATTTTAGTTGTCAGGAATTTTGTTGCAAGACACTTGTGGAACATAGCCATTGTAGGCTGTTATTTTCTTCCCTGGTGCCGGGTAGAAACTGAATCTAGGGCTTTGCCTGTGTGAGGCAAGTGCTCTGTGGCTGAGCCACATCCCCTTCGAGCACAACCACCGTTAAAAAGTAAACTGCATAGCATGCACAAGGCCCTGGGTTCAATCCCCAGGACCATAAAAATAAAAAGTCTGAAGTATGTAAACTTAGAAATATATCCCTTCCTAATTATTTTTCTGTGTGTGCACCTAAGGTTAAGATTAAGTCACTGTGCTTTGGAGGTGGGAGAATTTCATGTGTGTTGTGGTATGTGGGAACTCATAGTGCAGACATAGGAGATGCTACCACATCGTAGCTTTTTCTTGTTAAAAAGTACACTGCTTTGGAGGGTGGCAGGTAAAGGTCAACTAGGAGCTTGGAGCTAAATCTGACTTGTGTTATGGTAGCTCAGCGCCACCCTGTGGCCAAAGGTGAGATGAGCGGCATGGCTGACTTGGTTGGGTTCAGGGAGGGCAAGAATTGGGTCTGGCTCCCTGACTGTGGTGTCCCAGGTTTCCAGAGAGCCTGGGATACCTATTCACCAAGAGGCCCCTTTTGGAGGCCCTGGGCAAAAGCAAGTCTGAGTTACACTGATGAATGCACTTACTGATGCTTATCTCTGAGGCAGAGTACGACAGCCAGCTTTAGAGCCTGCCTGTTTTGTGGTAGCCACACTGTTCGTGAAAGAGCCAAGAAGAGAAGAGGTAAAAGTCTTGTGTGTCCAACAATGACCGTAAGCTGAACTATCTATGTTTTACAGGACTTAGTGAGCAGATGAATCATTAGAAGTGGTAAAAATTCAGGCAGTAAGAAGCACAGACCCAAGACACTTAGAATGTCCCAAGAATTTAGACAACTCAATTTTGGGCAAATTTATTGAAACATACAGGTTGTGAGCAAAGAAATCATTCAGTGGTGTCTTATACCTTGCCATTACCTTGAATGTATAATTTAAAAATTATAAATATATATTTTATAACTAAGCTTTGGCCAAACAAAAAACAAAAAAACAAGGAAAGTCATTTAGCACATTTGTTACAGATCAATAAGAAATGGATTTTCAACATTAAAAAGATCAAGTCACTGAATTAAACAGCAGCAACCATGGCTAATCTAGAATCCCAGTGTTGAGGGCAGAGGTGCCTGTGAGGAGCTAGTCATTTTTACAGCAATCAGAAGAGACGAGACAGGACACCTATAGGGTGGCAGAGCTGGCCGGGCAGGAGGGCTGGGCTGATCAGGTGAGCATGTCCCAAAGGCAGCAGCAACAGAGAGCAGTCCAGCAGGCCGTGAGGCAGGTGGAGGGCCCCAGGTCGTCTCTTCTTTGGTCTTCTACCACATACACTGGAGGAGAGAGGGGTGGGGGAAGAATGAGCTGGTGCAAACCTTGGCCCTACACAGCCTTCCTGGGGGAAAGGAGGGCTGCTGTGGGCAAAAGCCATTAAGCAGCCCTGTGTGTGGAGATCAAAAAAGGAAGGATGGCTTAGCTCATCATCTGCTTTCCTCTCTTGCCAATCCCAACCGGACATTCACATCTCACAGGAATGAGTACTGGGGAAAGTAGAGAATGGCCCCTGTCAAGGAGGAGCTGATGTACCATCTACAGTTGCTAAAGCAGGGAGCATTATGTTCTCTGTCCCCAAGGGAATGGGGGGGAGAGAGAGAGAGAGAGAGAGAGAGAGAGAGAGGGGGAGGGGGGGGGGGGGGGGGACAGGAGGGAGCAGGCACATCTCAGATACAGCTAAGCCACCAGCCAGGAGTTAAAGCAAGAGGCACTAACATCTCAAAAGGAGCCTGATGACCCAAAGGAACAACTAGGAATCCTGGTTTTCTTACACACCTGGGCAATACGTAATTGCAGAAGCTGCCACAAACTACATTGTGACATAAAGCATGAAAGCAACAGAAAGGAAAGCCTGGGCAAGTGGGATAGATGGCTAGAGCTGTGTGTGCCAGCACTCTGCTTTTCCTCAGAATGGAGATGGAGATCTTGAATGCTAAATCCACAGGTGAAGATGAATCCCTCTACACTGAACTGCTGTGCAGGTGTTATCTTCTCTTCCCAGAAGTACCTGTTCTCAATATCTGGTGCTTAATCTATAGTCCGTTTTTTAAAAAACCTCAAAACAGTATCATTAAACTCATAGGCAGTAGGAGTTCCACATTTTTTCAAAGCTCCTGAATGCATGAATCTACGGATGAGAGCAGTCTTTTGGCAGTTCTTTCAGTTATATTTTTTGCATTTTGTATCTATTTTTATACCTCCTCTTGGCAGCTATTCTCTGGAGCAAGTGTTGTAGCTAGCATGCCCTGGCTTAATGTGGAGTTTTCCAAGTTCTACCTTTTTACCCCTTGTGTTAGTGGCCCTTGTTCTTCAGAGACCTTTTTCCTTTGGAGGCTGAGGCAGGAGGATCAGGAGTTTGAGGCTTTTTAAAAAAAAAAGTAGCTGAATTACAGGTAAGTGTCACCACACTCAGTCTGGAGCAAAATGCTTTAATCCCAGCTCACTTTCATTTGGTCTCATTCAGCAACCCAGACAAATGTAGCTGGATCTGAGACCCAAACCATGGAAGCCTGGTCACAACCTCTTTATTCTGAGGCTTTAATAAAGTACGTTCCCAGTCTCACCTGCACCTGAACCGGAAGACAGGTTGCACTGGGAGGAAATCTGAGGCTCAGACAGGTTGTCCCTTGTTCCAACAAACATGACCAGGCAGAAGCAGGGCAGAATTAGAACCCAGGCCTTCAAGACCTTAATACTTCTGGCAAAACAGGCTTGCTCAAGGCCAGTTGGGTTAGAAAATGGACCAAGAAGTACTCTCTTAGATTGAGCCAGATGCCCAACCCTGGGTCACTGCAGTAGGAATGCCAGGCAGAGGGATCTGCCTAGATGACTTGCCCATGTCCCTATCTCCTTGGGTCCTATGTGTGCTGCTCTAGAAGGAGAAACAACTACAGAGCCCCTTAACCCCACCCCCATATTCTCCTTGCCAGATCTTGGAATAGGCCCTCCCTAGGCTGTGTTGCTATGACACATCCCAAAGTCTTCCCCACTACCACTTTCCGAGTTTTCTCCAGTGTTAGGAGCACCTGAGGCTTTCTGTACAGTCCTCACAACAGCCCTGTGTAACAGGCAGTGGCACCAGTTCCCTGTTGTTTCTCAGGGATGGCCGAGGCAGCAGTCATGCCCTCTTCTGCCAGAATACTAAACCTTGAGATTTAGTCTGTTTCCTTAGAAACAGACTAAACTGCCTCAGTTCTGTTTTCCCCTCCACCTAGCTCTTCCAACTCAGCCAAAGCTGTTCTTGCGTGTGCTCATTTCATATCACATTCCCAGAAATGAGAACCAGGGACTTGATCTCATTGTTCCCAAACAGTGCTGACAGAGGATGGAAGTAGTGGGCAGCTACAGAACACAGACATCACACCTGAGAGCTGTGTCACTAGTGACACAGGTGAGTGCCAAGTGCTTCTCTGAAACCTACTTATTCCTGGAGCATGGTGACTTCCCCCTAAACACTCCCAGCTGCTGGAAGGATGGGGCTGTGGCCAGGGTGGAGTGGCCTGTGTTTACCTTGCTTTTCAAATCATGGGAGAGGGTAACTGGCCAAATTCTTCATTACCTCAGGCTGTGGGGCCCAGAAATGACGCATCTTTAGTAGTATCTTTTAGTTGCCCAACCTACTCCTGGGAGGGAGGTGCTTAGTTTACAGAGGGTGACCGCTGCACTTAGCTACAAGGCTCACATCTCCACCCCAGGATCCTGATCCACTCATGGGCCTCCACTGCTGCCTTCTCTTCTGCCACTATCCCTGTCACTACTTACTGGGAGCGTCTAAAAGCTACACTGCCCCAGCTAACCAGCCCACATGCACCTCATGCTGTCGGTCTTGGGCCCTGACACCTTGGATCGATATGAAGTCAGAATACCCAGTGTGCAGAAACTCAGCTGGCAGCCATAGTCACTTGACAGGAGCAAGGTCAGACATGCTCCCAGCCAGGGGTTCCACACCCAGGCTAGATGGGCTGTCTTGGCAGCTGCTGCTTCAACTGCCAAGCAGAACATTAAAAGGGGGCAGAGTCATGGCTTTTGTAAGATGTTAGTCTATATACACACACTGTACTGTCTTTGTAAGTCAAATGGTACTTTTAAATACAAGTTTTAAAATGTTTTTCAGACAGGATCTCACTATGTAATGCAGGCTGGTCTTGAACTCATAGTGATCTATCCTCCCAGCTCAGCCTCTTGAGTGCTGGGGTTAGAGGTGTGTGCCACCATGCCTAGCAAAGAAAAAAGAAGGCTCAGAAGACCAGGGGGTAGCAGTGAAGTGGTGTGCCCTTCTGGGCAAGGTCAGTAGTCAGTTCTTCGTTAGTGAAAAGGCTCTGGTACGTATAGTGCCTGCTCAGCTCTGGCTTCTTCTTGGAGATCCCCCCCCTCCCCTGTGGCTAGCATGAGGACAAAGGATGCAGGGCCCAAGATTTGCTACCACAGCCAAGGGCTACCCTCCTGTCATGAGGGTCTCAAACTACCCTCTTCAGTCAGTGGTAGGAGTCTGTACCCTGACCCCATGCAGGAAGGGACTGAAGGGACTATTTCTAGGCAACTACAGTTAGGGTGAGGGTCAGGTCTAGGAGTCCCTTCACTGCCTCTCTTAATCTGCAAACACTCATTTGAAACAACCCCTGCTGGTATTAGCCCTAGCCCAGTGCGGAGTCTGCAGGGGGCAGATAACCGGAGTTTTACTGTGAAGAGGTGAGTTGAGAGAAGGGGTTGGGGATGTGATGGCAAACATGCAAGGAGAATGTTTGAGCATACAGGTAACCTGGATGCCTAGACTAGGTCACAGAGGCCCAAGGAACCCTTGCACGTCAGGTGCAGAGCACTTTTGCGAGGAGCTAAAACCATTTCTGGCAGTGGCATTTACCCCCTTTTTGCCTTTGTGCTAGAAGTGAAACAGATGATGACACCAAGAGGGATGTAGTGTCCTTGACCAACTGCTTGCCCACCCACAAAGACCTGAAGTATTCTCCAGGTCTGCCAGTGCCCACTGCAGTTTTGGCCACTAGGCACATCAAAGAGTAGACCCTTGTTCCCAGGATCTAGGACAGGTACCATTCATGTGAGCTACTCAGATTCTGTGCAGGCAGTGGGCAAGTAGACCAGAGCGGGGATGACCTGCAGGAAACCTGAGCAGAGGCCTTCTCAGGTAAAGGCTCTGGTTCTCCATTAGTCTGACATCTAAAACTCTCTCTTAGCTCAGAATTTTTAAATGATTAATCAGATGTCTGATGTAACAGCGCCTTATTAAGAGTGCCTCTGTACAGTTACAACCCAAGAGAGCTGAAGAGGAGAAGCAAACATTCAGGAAGTGGGGTTCTCCAAGAGGGCCCTGGTGCCCGGGGCTTCTAATGAGCAGCAGCAAGGAGCTTCAATAGGAGCGAGAAGGCAGTACCCTGTCCATCATGGCCCAGGCATGGCACCCAGGGCTGGCCCTCAATTGTTAGGACCATTTACAGCTGTAGCATCTCCTTTGAAGTGCCACCCGTGGAGAGAGCAAATTTCCAGGAGCTAGAAGACCTATCATCTCAACTGCCTTCTCCCTATGCTGGGCAACTAGACCACCAGAGGAAGCCCGGCTGGCCAGCCTCCATGCAGGTTTCAAGTGGCAACAGAATGGCCCTTCTACTACACAAACCAAGAGGAGGGAAGGAAAGGGAAAATGTTAAGTATTTTCAGAGTAAAATCTTGAGCCAAGGGGCTCCTGTTCCATAGCAGAAGCAGAACAATCTGCTAAGGCTTCAGCTGCCTGTCCTTGGATGTCTGCACGCAGGGGGTTGTTTACTGCCCAGCACAAAGAGACTGCACTGCTGAAAACATCCTAAAGGCACCTGCTCAAGTCTGGTGAGCACCAGGTAGGTATTTTATGAGGGTGTGGAGATGACCAGGAATAGCAGGGGCACCCAGCCCAACTTCCAAACTCCCAGGGTTATTTGGGCAGAGTAGGATCTCAGTTTGAGTGATGGACTGCAAAGGTTAAGGCAGAATGTTATGGACCTTCCATTTTCCTTTTCCTTTACACCTGCCTTACTCCTCGAAGCACCTTCTGCAGTCTCCAGCTCTGGCCTCAGTCTTTACTATGATATGGAATCAGAAGAAACCAGCTCATCCAGGTCCCTGTCCTCCCTGCTTCAGTGTCCCAAGATAAAGGCAGACCAGACCGGGTGCTGGCTGCTGCCCACTTCATTGATCATATAGCCTGTAACTCTACATAGAGAACATTGATGTTTATAATGGATTGTCTGGTAAGGGTGACAACCTACTGATGTGTGTGGGTCTTTGTTCC